TATTTGCTTCACAAATCAGCCCTTTCCCAAATATTTTTAAAGCATGCCTGGCTTGCAAATACTGCGAAAAAGGAAAGACAGTAAAAATTGCCTTATTACCCATCACACTCCATTCTCCTCTGCCTTACATACCTGAAGGGCTCCATCTGGGTTTTGCTCCCCTGGTGCCTCAGTTAGAAACTCCGTAGAAACCCCAGCAAACTAATTCATAAGGCTAAATCCCAGGGATCACCACTGGGTTTCTGCAATGCAAAAAAACCCAACCCAGATGTATTTTCTTTTATTAAATCTGGTCTTTGTTTGTGGGCTGCTACATAGAAAAGTGCTTTAGAGACCATTATAGGAAGATGGCTTCTACACTCCTTATACTGCTATATTTTGTATGGAGAGCCCACACAAGAACTCCTCAATTAAGTTGCAGGGTTTTTAATTATTGAAATAAGCTGCTGAAGTGCATTCCTACTGGTTCTCAACTGCTTTGCCACACAGTATCACACAAAGTGTCCTGGAAGATAGCTAGAAGATGAAGGAATTTGTCTTCACCAGCTGCAGGCGCTCAGCACTGTGCTTTACTCACACCATCAAGACCCTGCGCTGTCAGAGACCACATTGCCATTGCTTGCCACATGTGAAGCCTGACTGGATGTCGTGGTTGAAGCCCAGCCAGTAACTCAGAACTACACAGCCGCTCACTCACTCCCCCTGTTCTTTGTCCCACAGGGATGGGATAGAGAATCGAAGGAATGTAACTCCCATGGGTTGAGATAAGAACAGTCCAGTAACTAAGGTATAACACAAACCACTGCTGCTGCCACCAATAATAATAATGATAAGGGAAATAACAAGGGAAGAGGATACAACCGCTCACCACCCGCTGACAGATACCCAGCCCTGACCTGGGCAGTGATCTGAGCCTTCCGGGTAACTGCCCCCAGTTTATATACTGGGCATGACGTGCTGTGGTATGGGACACTCTTTGGTTAGTTTGGGTCGGGTGTCCTGTCTCTGCTTCCTCCCAGCTTCCTCTGCTTCCTGGCAGAGCATGAGACTAAGTCCTAGATCAGAGTAAGCAGTACCTAGCAACAACTAAAAACATCGGTGTTATTAACATTGTTCCCAGGCAGAAAGTCAAAAACACAGCACTGCACCAGCTAAGAAGGAGAAAAATGATTCCTACAGCTGAACCCAGGACACTGGAGCATCTGGTATTTGGTAAGACAAGGATACAGGGCTTTCATGCTACAAACTATGGCCAAACCAGAGCTTCCAATTCACCCTGAGGTCAGCTTTATCCTCACCCATCTCTCCCACTTGGGGTGGATCTGAAGAGCACTTCATCCAAAGCTTAAAGCCTGCATAGCTGGATAAAACCTTCTCCAGTTGTTTCTTGCTTCTAAACAATGACTAACAAAAGGAGATTCTCTTCTCTCACTCACTTTATGAGAAGCCACAGAAAACATAAAATCTACCTGTTCTTGTAAAAGCATTTCATGCTCTTCTGCAAAGCAAGATAAATGGTATATTATTATGTTTGCTGCCAGGAAACTTTAAGTACTTCTGAAGTTCTGTGATGGGACCAATAAGTTGTTCAGCAATCAATAAGCAAGCAACAAGCAGCAAATTAAAAAATGCAATCAATTTATGTATAGAATCATGGGTTTTTTTTCTCAGTAATTAATATGTTTACACACAACGGTTATCAAAGCACAGTTTGGATAGATTTCTGAAAAGGTCTCTCAATAATATTTTCTGTTGAATCCAGTTAATGTGTCACAGTAACATTTCTTCTTGCTTTTTTTCTAAGCATCATAAACCCAAATGAAATGTTAACAAATTTTCTAAAAATCAGCACTTTTACCCTAGCTGATGTAATAAAAAATGTTTTCATATTTTTATATAGAAAACTCAGGTTTAAAATGTCCTTTAATCACTTAGTTTGGTATTTTCACACGTGTTTCAATAAAAAAAGGTCTATCCAATGAATTCTCTTCTAAAAACATTAGAAAGTTTGAAAGTCGAATGTCATATGACTAAATAAGAGGCTCATTGCACCAACAGGAGAGGGGCGGAAGAGGTAAATATGAGCAATAGCAGATAAAAAGCTGCACATTCTGGACCTCATGTAAGCACCCTCCACATATATGCTCACACATACACTTAAACATGGATTTGTACTAGAACTTGCTGAAATCCCTGCCCAAGGCAAACCAGCCAGACCTGGAAGGCTGTTCCCTTTCACATAAAAAAAGTAATAATGAATAAAAATATTTGGAAGTTCTCCAATGCCTCATACAGCATAATTTCTGTTTCTCTTCCCCATGTATAGCCACAGGCTTGCTCCAGCTCTATGGTCCCTGTTCTCCCTGGTTTCTCACCAAGGTAGTATATTTGCACCACTATGAATGAAAAGCCACATTCTGAATTATAAGTGCGAAGGAAATATGTGTTCTTAACATCGTCTTACCTTTTCTTGGGGTACTACATTTCATCACGCAAACAAAGATCCCGTGCAGGATAGCAACGTCATCCCACACATTGGACATGAGACTTGGAGTTAAGTCACTTTTCTCCCCTCCTGTGTTTCCCCCATTGCCTTATGTGACCTCAGGCAATTAATTCAGCATCCAGTGACTCAGTTTCTCCTTGTGCTAAACCCAGGAAGAAAGATTTCCATGACAGTGACCTTTGAGATCGCAGAGTAATTTACACAAAGCAGAAATCAGTACCTAAATCCTTAATTGCAACTGAATACGTTCCGCCTTCTTCTAATATTGGAGGCATCTAAATATTCCAGTTGCACTTCTGCATGATCTCAACATTTCCAAAGTGAGTGGAGGTCTGTCTTACACACCCTCTAAACTGAAGAGCTGCATGGCTGTTTCCTGCCTCAGCTTTACCAGGATTCAGATCCCATCCACATATGCTTCTTGACCAGGACACACTCCTGGATGGACTAGAAAACTTGAACTGGTACCCTCTAAGGCAGAAGAGAGCACTGGCCAAATTCTAGGCAAATGTCCTAGCAGCCACTGCCATCCACATTTGTACTTCAAAAGAAAGAAAGCCACATCAGCTTATTACCTTTTTTTTTTCTAAAGACACACTAAGAAGAGGACCACATACCTATCTGCAACCCTGAGTAAGACACCTTTGTATTACAGTAAGACAGGATTTCAGGCTACCATTCCACTCCATGTTTCTTGTTGCATATCTTCTGTGTTTGCTGATGAGATGGGAGATTTCATTCTCAAGTATTCTATGGAATCATAGAATTATTTAGGTTGGAAAAGACCTTTAAGGTCAAGTCCCACCATTACCCTAGCACTGTCAAGTCCACCACTAAACTATGTCGCTAAGCACCACATCGGCATGTCTTTTAAATACTTCCAGGGACAGTGACTCCATCACTTCCCTGAGCAGTTTGTTCCAGTCCTTGATAACCCTTTTGGTGAAGAATTTTTTCCTATTATCCAACATAACCAGCCTCTGGCACAACATGAGGACATTTCTTCTTGTCCTAACACTTGTTACTTAGGAGAAGAGGCCAATCCCCACCACACCTTTCAGGTAGTTGTAGAGAGCGTAATGTCTCCCCCTTAGCCTCCTTTTCCCCAGACTAAACAATCCTAATTCTGTCAGCCATTCCTCATAGGCTTGTGCACCAGACCCTTTACCAGCTTCGTTGCTCTTTGGACACACTTCAGCACCTCAATGTCTTTCTTGTCATGAAGGGCCCAAACTGAGCTCTGTATTCAAGGTGTGGACTCATTGGTGCCAAATGCGTGGTTGTTTCCTCTAGCATCTAGCCCCAGTGACAATAAGATTCTGTTGCTTCAGTTTCATCTGTACAACTACAACTTAGTCACAATCATTGGTACAATCATGAGTCCTAACTAAGGAGCTAGTACTTTGGCTTGTGGTGTTGCCACATTTGTTCATCTAAGGTCTTAAAATATGATCATTTCCTCAACTGCATATTGAATACGAGACAGTACCTGGATACCAAAAGTCTGGTCAACCATTTTAAAGGACCTGACAAAACTAAACTAAAGCTAAATTAGAAATCCTTATAAAAGAATTTTCAAGTTTTACTTAGGCCATCTCCAAATCTAGAAGGTAGTTTTCAATATTCTTCCATGACTCCAGTCCTATGCCTGCAATTAACTCTTAAAATCAAGGGCAAATTAGTATGTGTATTCATGTCTTATGCTAGTAAGAATCTCTGTTTCGTCTTATTTCCAGATGTTCAGGTAATAACTAGATTATCCTATATAGCTGAAATGGGCAACAAAGATAGCAGCATTCTTTGCCTTTAGGTAACAGAGAGCTCCATGGAAAAACATGACAACTTAAGTGACTGTAAATAAGTTATAGCTTGCAGGGCTCTGGAATAAATCTTCATGTTTAAAATAGAACTAGCCATTCTTCAAACAACATGCATTGAAATATCATTCTCATCTAAGCAGATACAAATGAACTACTAGTAAGGTTTCTGTAAGAAAAACAAAAAGAACAGTGTGAGAATAAGCTTACTGCCACAAAGCACATATGCTGCTCTGACTGAAATTTTCCTGTGAACATGTGACATACTCTCTTTAGATGCTTACATAAAGAAATATTGAGTGCTGTCCATGATTCTGTTTAACTACCATTAAGAAGACATTATTCAATAACACAAACAGCTTAGTTTCACCTCCTCTAAGGTTGGCGTTGTTCTTGGTGGGTTGTTTTTCTTTTTTAAGTCTGAAAAGAGGACAAGACACAGTTATACTCTGTGGCTGCTGGACAGGAGGTGTCATTGTGGCTACCAGAGTTTTATTTATCCTTAACCCTAAGAAGCAGCCCTTTAACCAATAGCCTTCTCTACTGCCTTTCCACTGGAAATTTAGCACTATACTTTGCTATATTCCCAAGGCAGTTTTTAATGGCTGTTTCTGGTTACAGAGAAAAAGCTTCTTCTGAGTTGGTCATGTTCCAGTGTAACAAGTAATGGCACTTACCAGGAACTTACACTGCAATCTTTTGATGCTCAGAGAAGATCCACTACTACTGGCAAGTCTTTATGGCAGCTCACTGGTGTTGCTTAGATGAATGACTCATTTCTGAAAGAGTCAAGTGGGAAAAGAAGCTTAAAAAAAGCAGCTGCACATTGGGAAAGAAAAGAGTTTTTGTCATTGGCTGTAGTTGTCTAATCTAATTTTCAATATAGGTATACAGTAATAGGTCTAACGTGATTAGCAAAGTGTCATAAAGACACAATTCCTGAGCAGTTTTAAACACACACACACACAGAGTGCTGGCAGTCACAATCTGTTGTTTTCAGAGTGAATAGCATTAATCATTTTTAATGGTCAGTCTGTAAAAAGAAGTTCTAACTGATTACTGGTGTAAAAGAAAATAAACATCATACATACAAATCTGATTTCCAAAAAACTGAATCACTTTTGTCAGGTATTTAACTTAAACCAGCAAAACAGACCATCAAGAAGGCGGCATTTAAATGGATGCCTGCAGCGATGGCCAGTCAATGGCCTCTTTATTTGTTAAAGATGGATTATTTTAAATAAATTACAGAGCACTTTCACTGAATAAACAGAGTCTCAGTGGCTGTGGCATGCTATACATGCTTAATTGAGCCACAGAAATCCTAAATGACTACTGAGCTGTGTAATCGCCTTTGATTTTGCTGATAGGACTTGATTCTTTAGGCAAAAACCAAGCCATTGAGGGCTGAAAAGCAACACTACCTTGAGGAAAATAGAAAGCTTAATCTGGAATATATACTTATAATATTTCGGAAACCACAGGGATGGAGTGTTCCAATAACTGAACACAAGGCATCTTCAGAAGTGAACGATCTGCGTGTCATTTTTATTTGAGCTTGATATGTTAAATGTCCCAAATGTTTATGTTGTATAAGCCCACTTAAACATTGCAAAGTGCAACAGATTCATTGGCAAAATAAAAAGTATAGCTTTCCTTGTCTTGCTTGCTGTCTTTTTGCATTGATAGAGTGTATAATGCACATACAGATACCCAGGGGTTTTCTTAAGTAATCGCATTATTTGACTGTATTTGGGGAACCTGTTAATATGATCTATTTACAGTGTTACCTATGTTTTCTATAGAATGAAGTAAAACACTAGGTCAGAAACCAGGAAAAAATGCTTTAACCCTTACTGATCATAATGTTCTTTTTGAGATTGCGTATTACTGACTCTATGTCCCAGCCTCCACATCACTTAGCCACCAAAAAATCACATCTGAAATAAGTCTATAATTGGTACAAAAACCTTGCAGGATCAGACCCCTTCTTGACATGAATGAATCCTGAGTTAATGACATATGGAATTCATTTTGACAGAAGTTATGACCTTAAATAATATTGCTTCCATTTGTCAATATCTCTAAAAAATGGTTTGACATTGAGAGGCAGTTTGAAAACTACTTTGAATAACAGCAATTAAAAGAGAGATTGATACTGTTAGGCACTTTAATAACCATTGTGTACCTGGATTTTCTCTAAAGAATTTCAGCACCTAAAGCTTTCTTCACTAGGCAAGTGCAAAAAAGCTTAGCTGTGAAATTCGCTCTGTAATGGAGCACAATGAGCTGCATATGCGGTTTCCACAATTACACTGTACATTTGAAAAAAATTATATACTAGTTTAACCATGCTGGTAAGGCAAGTGCCTGCCAACATCAATTATAACTGATAAGCATTAAAAAATAAATTTTATCCATACACAATGATCACAGGAAATTAAAACATGTAATATTAGATACAAATTTTATGCAGTTTTTGATAATAGGACCAGGCTGCTTCATAGTGTCATAAACTGGCCAACCAAGGATGCTCATCAAGCTGAGAAAGCTTTGGCCAAAGCAGCTGAACTGTTCCTGTGTGATTTCAGAAACCCAGAGGAAGAGGCAGTAGAAGAATTTGAAGGTGTTCTTGGTGCAGTTTAGGTTATTCACTTGGTACTGTTCATAATACATGAGAGAAGATCCCACAGTCATGAATGCCAGCCCTTCCTGGGGGAAAACTACCCGGAGTTCTGCCTGCCTCCTGGGCCAGAGCAGCACAGCAGGCATGACATAGGGAACAAACACAGCTGCCACAGCTCTGCTTAGCATCCTAGCACCATTTTCACAGGGAAAGGAGAAAATGTTTAATGCTCCTCCGCAGTGATTCCTTTTAGCAGAATTAATGAGAAAAGAAATCTGGAACTTATAGCTCTGTGGACTTGTGAACATAACAATAGAGAAAATCCCCCAAATATGTGAGAGAAATCTGCAAGGGCAGAAGGCTCTGCACGTCTCAGGCTATTCATACCAGCTCACAGCATAATTATACTTATTTTCTTTGGCAGTACATTTTTTTCCTTTAGCCACAGAGACACATTCTCTGGAGGCCACCAATCATGCAGAAACCATGTGGTAAAGACAGGTATAAAATTCAAATAGCCTGGTGCCACGCAGTCATTCCCTGCTCTGCCTCAGGGATTACACAGCAATGTGGCAGCAGGTGTGACCGAGTGTGCACTTTTTATACTATCAGCCCTATGGGAATAATATTTGTGCCCATGAATCCCAGAGCTGAACTACCCACACTCCTGTTTCCTTGGTGGCCTAAAAGTAGAACCTTATGTAAGTAATTTGGACTGGTTTCCCGCAGGTCCTTTTAAACCTTTTTTTTCTTTTCTTTCTGTTAAATATGGCTACATGCTAGCCAGTAACCCTTCTGACTGTGCATGCTGCTAGCTCACACAGACGTTGGGCTGGATTCAAATATTCAAGTGCTTTTTACAGTTCCCTGTGGCCAGTGAGCACAGCATCCTATAGGGACATTCATTGAGAAGGTCCCCCTGCTCTCTCCACAGTCCAGAAGAGTTCAGATAGTGAAGAGACTGCTAAAAAAACTGGTCATGAGAAATTTTCAGAAACAAGAGGGGAGTGATCATATCTTTCATAAGTGAAGTCTAGGCAGACCTAAAGGCAATACAAACCAGAGACCTGAAATTGCACCACGTGTGTGTAAGGAGAAATATGATATAATTGGTTAACTGAGACTTACTAAACCAGGAAACAGGCTTGAACATTAAAATTCTAAGACACAGTTAATAGAAAAAACTCAATAGGACACTAGGGAAACAGCTATATGGGTGCGGAAACATGCTAACTCCAAGAAAAGAAATGCTATAGCCAGTTTGACAGCTGCAGAAAAAGCAGCTGATGCAGTGAAACAATCACAAGAAACTTACAGCCCTGCAGGGACGGTTGACAGAGGTGACAGAGATCGCAGAATGATTCTGCAGAGAATGGCCTGTAGCAAGCTGAAATAAGCCAAAATAAGAGATCAAAAGGCTACTTTTAAGTACTTTTAAGTGAAGCAACGTTCAAGGAGTTGCTACAGACCATGGGGTGTCCTAGATCCTGGAGATAGCCCACATACTGTCTCTGTTTAAGAAGTGGAAGAGTCACGAACCAAAACTTAAAAAAGAGGCCATCACTACAAATACTATTCATAAAGGCAAGTGGGACAAATCCATCTCTTCCTGCTACAGCAAAGGTTCTATTAAATAGATTTTTCTCCTAAGTACATAGCATTTCCAGTAAATCCTTATCCATGTTCAGATATTGGTGCTACAGGCTAAAGAATTCAACCCTATGAGAGAATGTACTGCACCTTCCACAAATCAAATCCTAGAAAAAATATTGTGAGACATATGAAGAAGTATATGATACATTAATTTATATAGTGTTTTTCAGACCAAAACATTTCAAAGTGCTTAACTATTGATCAGCACAGATACCATCATGAATGTATTCACTGAGCAAAAGGTCCCAGATATCCTTAGGTGAGAAACAGCTACAAATAATTCCCAGGTGGAGGAGGAACATACAAATTGTCTGCAGCAGAGGAGCAATTGGGAAACATTACACTCCTCCCATGTGCTTTCTCTGCAGTGTCAGGCTCCACAGTGGTTGCATTTTTGTTTTAAAAGTCAGTCAGAGAGTTAAGTGGCATAAAAATAAACTATTTGTGGAGGATGTGCTGGGAGCTGTACAGAAACAAAGTCTTAAACAAACCACCAGGCACTGAAGAAAAACGTCACTTATTCAAATCTTATGGTCACTGTAGAAACCTTCCAGTAGCAATTACAATAGGGAGGTCAAGCTCTTCACTTTGCCTTTGCAGAAGACAAGCATTCAAATTTTAAAAAGTAATCAAGAGTATTTTCATTGTTTCCAATTCTAGCATCTGTCTTCTCACATTGCCTACCAAAATCCTGCATACTGAGGCATAGTGCTCTGTGCATGCTTTTCTGAGACAGTCTTGCAAGAGTTTTGCTTTGATCTCAAGAGGAAAGCAAAGAAACCAGAACTGTATCCAAACAACGAAGTTAAAGTGAGCCTTCTAGACACCAGTTTCAGTTTCCTGCTAAGGCTATCTTGTGAGAAATAACTACAGCTATTTTTAATCTTTCTTACATTTTAATGGATCATAAACCTAATTTATGCTTTACTGTCATCTGTTGTCTCCTTTATATTTTGTCTCCTTTATTTATCTCAGTTTTCCACTATCAATGATAGTCAGAGCATCACTGCAGCCTGCAGGTATAAATGGATTAATAATTAGTGTAGATCCCTTTCCCGCCATGTAGGCTGCAGGTAGCATCCCATTTCAACCTTCAGCAATGCAAATAAGCTGATGTTGGCAATATATCATGAACTGCTCACCAGTCATTTCCTTAATGACTTGCTAATTTTCCTCTCCATATCCTCCACATGACACACTGGAACTTCAGATGCTTGTGCAGACCAGTGCAACTGAGAATGCAGACCGTGTAGATAGCTCTATGATTTTGTTTTTATGCCAGCTCTTTTTTCTCTGTCTTTCCCTTATGGAATCTGCTTCCAGTTTTTAATTTAATCTCTGATGTTGGCATAAATATAATTCTTTAGATATTTAACTTCTCTATCTACTGTTTCTCCTGCTAATCTGCAGCTGCCTGAACTTTGTGGTTTGTGCCATATAAGAGAGACCAATGTTTTTGTTTTCTGTTCAGCATTTCATTCCTGTTCATTTGATTTACTCAAGTAAATATTATACAGCTCTGAACCTAATCCTTTTTATTTATTTATTTATTTTTTAATTAAGGATTAAAGAACTCGTATTCCTGAATTTACCCCCAGAACATTGTTTAATGCATGCAGAATACAATGCAATCTTTCTTGGATTTGAAATCTACTTTCAATGAGTTTCAAAAGCATTAATAGCTAAAAGATACTATTGTATCCCAGGGTATGGTAATCTCCTTAAACCTCCAGAAATAACAAGAACGTTGTTTTTCTTTTGTATCATAACACAGGGATTTACCAGGCTAATACAGTAAGACTCTCATTCAGAAAACCATATTTTCCTATCTATTGACTGAAACAACTATGCTGTGCAACCACAGACCTAGAAATTCAAGTATGTTTTGACACAGTAATACCATATGCTCTAGATAGAAAGTACTTAAGGCTGTCCTCATGGGGTGTGTACCTGTGAAGCAATTGCCTAAAAGTCATTGCTTTGTTGACAGCATACTTGCTAATGGCACCACCTCAGGTTTCAGAAAATGGAACCAGTCTGCGGTCCTACCAGCTCCAGGCTGTGCAACAGCTCAGTGCACTTTCCTTTTGCAGAGCCTGAAGTACTGCTGCCAACTCCACAGGGACTCTGGAAAAGGAGCAATTCAGATTCAAACCTCCTTTCTTTAAAGACTCAGAAGATGTCTAGCCAGTTGAACTACTCGTTATCCCACGTTTACAACTGCCTAGTGTGGACTTTCCTTTTCAATTTTCATTGACACTTTTTAGCCTGGGGTCAGCAATGCATTAACATCTCATACTATGTTGTACCTGAGCTAGCTCTCCTTGTGCTAGCTTGATTCCGGGGTTAGTTAGCAAGAGCAGGCTCTCTGGGAGAATGCTGGCAATTTTTTTCATTTAATCTGACTCACAGCAGTACCATCAGAGAAGGACATACGTTCTCACTGTAAGTCAGGTAGCAAAGCAGCAGTAAATTTACTAACAAAGCATGGGGCCTCGCATCATAGGGGTCACAGGAATCATCCATGTGGAGTTCTATCAGTAATGGGGACTCAGAGGTAGAAAGCAACAAGTTTCCTTGGACAGAATTAGAAGTAGAAACCATACTCTGTAAAAACTGAAGAGGCAAATCATTACAGCTGCAATACCAACAGCTCTTGCTCGGAGCAAGAAAATAAGTCCAAAATACAAATTGCAAAAAGGAGAAGGAAGGGGTTTTTTCTGTTGTGTTTAATTTTTTTTTTTCTTAATTCTGAGTTTTAAAAGCAAAACCATGTAATGTATGAAATATGTTACTGAATACTCCTGTGTTACTTGGATCACCCCACAGTCTCTTACAAGCCAGTATTTACTGCTTGGTGTTTTTTTAAAGAAAACCCATCAGTGAAGCAAACCACATTCTCGTACATGTTTGACTGCTTTTGTAGTTCAGCACATGAGCCGCTTCTTTTTTTTTTGGAGGTAACATAAGGAGATGGAGCGTAGCCAGGG